ATATAATTAATGAGTTAGAGCCTTCCTATTACAAAAACCCTATATTAAGTTTTAGAAGCAAAAAAAAGATCATGTAAATTTTAAAGACAAATACAAAATTACACCCAGTTTATCTTAATACTTCAAAAAGAATAACTAATCAAAAACGAGCTATTTTTTTTTGCTACAATGTAGGTATTTTATAAAATTTTTTTTTTTTTGGTTACGTCAAAAGAACAAGTTAAAGAAAAGATGATCAAAGAAAAAAATAATATAAAATTATATTATCTCTAATATAAAATAAAATAAAAAAGCATATTATTACTGTATTTCTAATATAATAAAAATATAAGAGCATATTAATATCATTTCTATAATAATAGAACTACAATATCGTGATTTATATAGAAAAATTACAATAAACGTAACTCCAAAAAATTTAGATAAATTATATTATTTTTACACTTTAGGTAAAAAAAAAAAAAATTAATAGTTGTATTCTATATATAAAAGACGGTTTAAAAGTTTAGAATAAAAACTTTGCATGTATAATCTACATAAAGTACATAGTCTGAAGGGGGGAAAAAATGTGTAAGATACGTATTATTATTAAAAAAGAAAAAAAAATAGAAATAAAAAAAAAATCATACATACTCTAATCAATTCGGGTTTTACGACACCAAAAGTAGATACTTGTCCTGGAGTTTCTTCCACCATAGATTCAGTATCACTCCACTGCTCTCCACGGGAATGGAATCTTGCACGTCTGCAAACGATATGCGCATAATATACGGGTGGAACTAAAGATACAGCCTTAGTACAACGTGCATATATATAACACAAGTTATAAGACAATGCCTGAAGGCTAATAATAGGGAGAAAAAAAAAAACGCGTTAAGATCATAAACATTCGTTGACGGTGATAATCGATAAGATCAAAAAAAAGTACCCGTCAGGAGTGAATTTGTTTTCGTCATACAAAACGTGATAGTGTGTTGGACGTGATGTTCCTTGCAATCCCGAATGACTTTGCAAATCTATTAAATAATGGTAATATATATTTTCAATAGAAAAAAAATATTAATATTTTTAAAATAATAAATACTTACAAAAATCAAATTCGAATGGATGTGTGATCACGGATTCAACTACAGTGCCAGGAAGGCAATTGCCAGTTCGGTCTGCATCTTTCTTGTCCATAGGAAAGAAGCGTGTGTGATGACGTTTTTGGACCACAACAAAGGTGATGGACGGCTTATATGACTCGTTAAGTGAGGCGCATGCAGCTATTAAAATATGAAGAATGTAAATAAAATCAAAAAATGGAGTGTAAATAAATAAACATATATATGTATAAATAAATAAAAAGTTTATACCTCTAAGTGCGTTGATTTCTCCGTCAAGAACCTGAGCGAATTGTCCTTCAGAGACACCATCTCTATAAAAAAGAATTCTCTCAGGTTTTCTACCACAGGACTGATAAAAGTTTCTTAACAGGTCCTTAACCATATTTGTTAGGTCGGCGATTATTTCGGTGCGTCCAGTCTGAACTCGAACTGCTGCGGAGTAGCGAGAAGCTTTAGCATCCAAAGATGCGCAAATAGCGGCAATAGATGGGCGGGAATGATCACCTAATTAGTAGTGAATAAATGAAAACAAATTAATATTAATAAAATAGATATATAAATATATATATATAAGGTG